GCTATTACAACGGGACTAACAGAAGAAGAAAAGCATCAACGACGCCTGCAAGAACTTGAAGCCTTAGACGACAAACGACTTCAAGCTCAGCAACAGATCAAGTTATATCAAGCCCGTATCTCCAAAGCCTACAACAAAAAGGTTAAGGAACGGATTTTCAAGAAAGGCGATCTAGTTTTGGCCAACAGACGACCCATGGTGATGACACACAAAACCAAGGGGAAGTTCAATCCTAAATGGGAGGGGCCCTTCGTAATAGAATCAGTCTATTCGAATGAAGCTTATCGTCTCATCAATTAAAAAGGAGACAGGCTCATGATGCCAATTAATGGGAAGTTTCTCAAGAGATACTTCCCGTAAATCATGTAGCCCCCCAAACCCCAGCTAAATCAGGCTGGGGGTTGCCTATTTATAATGTAACCCTGTCTTGTATTTCGTCATGTTAACATTACACCTCTGACGATTGAAATTTTCTAGAATCAGTATAATAAAGAAAATTTCAATTTCATGCCAGGTTAACACTATACTTATGGCATTTGCTTTACTTTTCATTGTCCTGAACCAGATTTCAACAAAAGAGATGATGAAAGCCAAAATGATATCATTTTCATTCAATATTTTTGATTTGAATACAAAATGAATCGAAACGAAAATGATACAAAATTATTCCTAGCTAAAAAGCAATCCAAGTCCTAAACATCGGGGCTCATCAGTCTAAAAGACTTGAGTTTAGCTTTCAGCGCCAATATTTTCTCCTCACGAGCCTTTTTGACTTCCTCTGTTATCTTGCTCTTGAGCTCCTCTTCATTTGGTGCTGCTTCTACAATCTCCCGCCTAACTTTGTCAGCAGCAACAAGCTCATCACAATAGCCCTTGAAAAGCCCGTCACAATAAGCAATTAACCCTTTTATGACTTCCATGTCGCCCGCTAATCGAGCAGTTATCTGAGCTTGCTCGATACCAGCACGGGTAAGCTCAATCGCAGTATCCCGAATACCTGCAGCAAAAGTGCCCAAGTCCACTTGCACTTGAAGATGTTCCCCGCGCAGGCGAGTAATACGAGAATCTGCTTCGTTTAGACTCTTCTGAAGAGCCTCTTGCTGATGTACCTTCAAAGCTCTGGCATGAGAAAGAGCCCGATCCACTTCTGGTTCGATGGCATCGCGTTGTAGCATTGAAAGGAATTCCAATTCGTATTCCAGAACAATAATGCTCTCGCGACAATGTTCAGTCCACGATGTATCCCCCTGGTCCCTAATCTTGGCAAGACACTTCAGCAGATGGGGTTCGAAGACTTTGAAACTCACGTCCCCGAGACTAACGACATCAATAGTCATCTGCATCCAGTACTCTAATTGCTCGATGAGTTTCCTCAAAGTCTCCGAGCTTGGGGGTGGAGCAGTCGGCGGATAAGTGAAGCAATTCTCATAATCAGTGCGAATGGGAGCGTTTACAGCTTTAGATGATATCTTTTCGGGCACATCTGGCACTGAATCTGGGCGAGAACCTCTCTAGTGTCCTCGTCTTCAGAAGGCTTTGTAGCAGGCAATTCCTCTGGGATCTCTTCGATTCCAACCGCCTCCCGTTCGCAGGATAGATAATCCTCTATCCCTGGTAGTCGAGTCCTGCCGGAACCACTTCTTGATTTATAAAGTTCTCGGATTTCATTTATACATGAAGTATAAATGTCATATTCTGGAATTAGAGAAGTTTTATCAAACCAGCTGCGGAAATCTGCTACGGTGGAACAGCTAGGCGGCAAATTAGGCAGAGTAAACTGTGCATGAGTTCCTTGAGCAATAAAGAAATGCCAAGCACGAGCTCCTTCATACAGATTCCCGATGTGAGCTAATTGTGGATTAGGGTTACCAACGTAAAGCTGGTCATATCCGAACTGTCGAGCAAAACGTGAAGGAACGTAAGGCTCAATTATGCATCTTTCACCTATCCTGAAAACCAGGTAACCCACTCTGATAGAGAGAAGCCACTGAAAAGTCTCTGATAGAGAGAAGCCACGTTACAACATAAAAACGCGAGGGTCAAACCCGCGTTATAACATCAAAACGCTGGAGTCGGACCCGCGTTACAACAAGCGAAACGTGAGCGACCCTCGCGTTCTGGATGT